GAACCTTAAGTGCAGCAGATTTTTTTTTTGTAACCTTGGCCAGATCTGTGCCTTTCCACAATTCTGTCTCTGAGCTCTTCAGGTAGTTCCTTTGACCTCATGATTCTCATTTGCTCTGACATGCACTGTGAGCTGTAAGGTCTTATATAGACAGGTGTGTGGCTTTCCTAATCAAGTCCAATCAGTATAATCAAACACAGCTGGACTCAAATGAAGGTGTAGAACCATCTCAAGGATGATCAGAAGAAATGGACAGCACCTGAGTTAAATATATGAGTGTCACAGCAAAGGGTCTGAATACTTAGGACCATGTGATATTTCAGCTTTTCTTTTTTAATAAATCTGCAAAAATGTCAACAATTCTGTGTTTTTCTGTCAATATGGGGTGCTGTGTGTACATTAATGAGGAAAAAAAATTAACTTAAATGATTTTAGCAAATGGCTGCAATATAACAAAGAGTGAAAAATTTAAGGGGGTCTGAATACTTTCCGTACCCACTGTATATTACAATTTAGTTCTGAAGATCTTTAGTTGTGAACATCAAACAGAATATGGATGAAAAACAATGCTTCTCTGCATGGGGTCCATTTCGACAGGGCAAAAGACATACGAATCAGCCACTATGACTCAATGGCAGTAAACTCACATACACATGAACCCAAAGACACAAAGATATGCACTGTTAAAGTGGTGTCCTACATATTCTCAGATGGTATGCACTCAGGGTGACTCAGAACACCCCTGATTCACAAAACAAATGCAGACTGGAGGTAATTGATCCATTAAACACACACACAGCTCCAACAGCCCTTCTGAAAAAAAGCCACTACAAAGCTGTTGTCACTAACCACACATTACATGGGAAAGATAATCTGTTGTATGAACAACCTGGCAAGCAATAAATGCCTGCTAAGTCACTTGTGCTGCAATGAAAACACCTAACTTTACTGTAACAACTTCCTTAATGATATCTGCGACATGAACAAAGCTGATAAAACTCCCACTCTTTCACAATTAAGAGACAAAGTAGGTACTTCTCCGTTATGAAGCAATTTCTTTTTATTCACTACTTTTGACAAATTTGAAAATAAATAAATAAACCAAAAATGAGCCAGCCAACTCAATAAGGTTAACCTCAATAAGCACTCCCATTTGCTGTATTAAAACATAATTTGGTGTGACATAGTGGTTAAACATCACAACAGGTAGGTTTGAATCACTTGAGAGATGGCTCATGAGCTATTACTGCTGTGCTCTTGAGGAAGGCACTGAACCCCGGGATGCTCCAAGGGGACTGTTCAAATATACTGTATATCCACAAGTCAATGTGGATAAAAGGGTCTGCAATAAGATTGATCTCCCCAATATCCACGAAATGTGAGACTGTGGTATAAAGATTAACAACTGACTTCATATCATGGTTGATGACTGCTATAATATTATGAGACGTGACACTCACTAGTCATAACTGTATCAAATGATAGTAAGCTCATTAAAGTGTAAAACCTCATAGACCTCATTA